GTCTCAAAAGCTTGCGAAAAAGAAAACTCCTCCCCTTAACGGTTTCTCTTGAACATTGTGCCAATCAAACTCTTGCCATAGGCATACAATTTCTATTGGCAACTATGGGCTTCGTAAGAGACTCAGAATATAAACCAAATTTTGGGGGAAACATTTCCGAAAACTCTGGCTTAAAAATACATCTTCTCGAAGCTTTATCTGACTTTAATTAAGCCCAATCAGCTGCGCAGTAAATTGAAGAGAGGAAAACTTAAAATTCAGTAATCGCTTCGTTGCCGTCTGCTCGACAATCAATTAATATTTCTTCAAGCAAATTTACAGCCAAAGAATTTTTAACATTTTCGTTGAATATGCATTGACAGCCGTAAAAAATGCAGAGAGCGAGAGAGAAAGGGAGAGGAAACGAGCGAGAAAGAGATGTTTCTCCGGCACACTTCGCTGGTCGTTAATCAATTAAAACATTTGCGAATTTGCATAAACATTTTCGTTGGCGCTTCTGCCATAATTTTTGCACTTGGCAGCTTCACTTTGTTTACATGGAACAGTCTGTCGTCCCTCGAAGCCCGCCTCGGTCCCTTACTGCAGCCAATTTGCAAATGCGGCAAACAAAAATTGATTAAAACATCACGTAATCGCAATCGCAGTCGTCGGCAGCGGACATCGTCATCGGGCTGGCTGTGCCCGAAGTTCGGGCGGCGCCAGCCCTGACATGGCATGGACATGACGGGAGATCTCTCCATGGTACGGTGCACGTACGCATGTGGTTAGCCGGACCCAGGCTGGCACTCTCTCTCCATATATAGAATCTCTCTCTCTCTCTCTCTGTGTCGTTCTCTGGCCTATGTCTTATGAATATGAATTCAAATCATTTCAATTGAATTTCTGCGAATTTGTAGTTGAATCAGCGAGCGGCGGCCAGTGCAGTGAATTCAAATCGAGCCAATTATTGGCTTATACTTATGTACATCCACACATGCTCTTTCTTACATACGTATATGGGAATCGAGTCTATTAAGAACCGCAAAACATTAATGACAAATTGCGCATCGATGATGTGGATGTGGACCAAGTGACTCACAAACCAGAGAACCAGAGAACCTGACATCTTATCAACATGGCCATAAATAAGGGAAAGGGACACATCCACCAACTGTGCCCAATCTGGCATATTCCGTGGCTCCGTGCCGCGGCCTGTGCTGTGCCGCAACCTGGTCGGACACCGCAGACAGGGACACCGTAATTCTTTGTTGCAGTCTTCATAAATTTCATTTTTACATGCGGTGCCATGTCAGTGCCCTTGGTTTGGGTTTTGGGCCAGGCAACAGTCCCTCCCCTTTGGTCTGGCCAAATATGCTTAATGACTTGTTTGTGTGCTGGATTAAATATAAATTATATTTTTGCCTTCCATGCGAGGAGTGAATCGTCCCTGGAGAGCAGAGAGAGAGAGAGAGAGAGAGAGAGAGGAAGGGAAGGGAACTCGTTTTGGACTGCGGAATGATTAAAATTTTATTCCGAAGAAATTTTGTTTGTCGCTGCAATTGCCGATGGCAACTCTCTGGTGAGTTATGGCGAAAGAGTGGAAGATTTAAGACTCCATCCATCATGGGAAATGGAAGCTATTTGCTCCCACCCACACACGATCCCCGTCCCAATCCAGATAGATTTCCATGGGACGGCGTATGGGTATCTGGGTCAGAGTGCTTGATTGATAATAAATACGAGAACGAGTACATGCCAGTATATGGAAATGGAATCAAGACTTCTTTGCCAGTGACTGTCAGGCCCACGGTACTTGAGTATTTTAATTAGTCCTCCCCTCCTTCGGCCCCCACTCCATCTCCATTGACACAAGAGGGCAAAATAATTGCCTCCACTCGGTGACTTTGGATTGGATTTGATTGTGAAGCAAATGCTCAAGTAAATAAACCAGTCGAGCCGAGAGCAGCAGCCACTGCGAGCGAGTTCTGTGTGTCATTTGGTTCAATCAATCAAGGGATTTTGGGTTAGCAAGAGTTCTGCCCCAAAAATATGCTGCAGATAAATCAAGAGAGAGAGAGACGGCCTCTAGGTAAAAAGGTTGCACATAAAATATAGGAAAAAAACAGAATTAATTCGCAATGAAAATGTGCGAAAAGATGCAAAGTGCTGGGATTTGCAATAAAAAATTGACCAAAGCATATGCTTAACGGTGCGACTACGAAATATGTGGGCAAATAAATAAACACATAAAAACGAGAACAAGAGCACGGAATGAAACATGTGAGAGCATGTGGTAGCGGGAGTCCGGGAATCCTTCTCCATGTGATATAAATGTGATGTTGTTTGTCCTGGGCCATGCCTCAGACGATGACAGGAAACTGTATGAAATTGCTTCAGGCTTCAGGGGTTGGGTTGAACTTGAGAGCCATGCCATGCCATGCCGATCAATATTTCATGCAAAGTTTTTGCAAAAAAATCACTCTCCAGAGCATGTTTATGAAAATGCAACCGGAAATCGAATGTCTGTCAGGGCACAACATTTCTGTAAGCTCTTCAGTGGGAAATCGGGAGAGTGTAGGATAGAAATGGCGATGGTTAGTGGCATTCTCATTCCTCTGCAAATTATGCAAATAAGTCAGCACACATACGGAAGACTCTGACTGGCAGGAAGACTCCATCTAGTGGACCCCAAATGAATCATATGCCAAAAGGCATTTGAAGGCCTCAAGCTTTTGTAATGGGCCCTTTGGGTCCACCTTCTTTTCTGCTTTACTCCTTCACTCCTGGTCCTGTTCCTGGTCTTGTCTAGCTCAACGTGGCAACATGGCGTATGCGTAGCACAGCATTAGACACTCGAAAATGCATAAGGAGAAAGTTTTCTGCTTCAGTCTGAGGGCTGTCAATTTCAGTTGCCGTCTCCGTCTCCGTCTCCGTCTCTACGTCTACGTCCGGCCGTGGATCTCTGTGACTTGTCAGATGATTTTCTTCCAGATTTTCCCAAGTAGAAACATTTGTCTTGCCTGCACTGTGTGGGTGGACTGTGATCAAAGCAGCGTCTTACTCTTACCTTCCCCGTATCGCAAATAAGAATCAAAGTTTGGGCACGCACCCGATATGGACACTCACCTGCAAGGATATAGATAAAAAGATGTTAGAATCGTCGTGGGCCACACATGCGATAAGTTAATCTAGCCAGCCCCACCCACCGCCCAAAACCTGACTAATCCCTGACCACAGGCGGACTTACGTCGGGTTTAATTAACGATGGAGGCGGGGCCGGACTAAACTTGGCCGGAACACAACTTGAGCGCATAAATTAAGGCCTGAGCTCGGACTTAAGAATGCTAATGATGTCCTCGAGCTTTCGAGAAGGCTCCTTGCTCCTTGTTCCATTCTCTCATCTCTCAGCTTTCAGCGCCTGGCTAATAATGCTTTGCATATAATCAAGCAGCCCATGCATGACCTTACTCCGACTCCTTCTCCAACTCCATCTCTCTCTGAGTCTCCTTGGGAGGCTGCTCGTAGTGCTAATCCAACAACTTGACTGCCATTACCCCTGGAATCGGAGCGGACAGAGACATAGATCCATAGAGATATACAGATAGAGTGAGAGTGGGAGAGCGGGAGAGGAAAAAACGTTCATTTGCTCAATCGTGCACTCGAAAATGTCAATTTACATTTGCGGACTGGCAGCCAACGCATTTCCCCCTGGTGCGCCACCGAATGCGGAAACTGAGCCCGGACCATACGCAGTTCCAGGTCCCTGGTCCTTGGTCCCTGGTCCCAGCTCCAGCTTAAGTTGACTTTAACGCCTCAATGCATCCAACTAGAAACACCCGATGGATGAGAAGGAGAAAGTTTTGTTGCTTTTTTTTAGGACAGAATCAGGAAAAAGGAAAACTTTTTATTAAAGTCAGCAGAAAATGGTTGGAACTCGTTTTGGTTTTGGATTTCCATTCTCCCACACTAGCTGGTTAGCCCTGATCCCTGCCCAGATTCACGTCCCTTCTGCCGTCCCTGCCTCTCGTTCTATCTCTCTCTATTTCTCTCTCTGTGTGCGTTTGACAATGTGGGCGTGGCACTGGACTGTGCTCTCGTCTGTTGCTCTGGTCAAGTTAATTTGTATGTGTGGCCGTAAACTTTTGCCAGCTTAGACTTTCCAACACGCCCCATTGGGCCAGTGGGGAGTTTGGGGGCAGGCCGATAGCGATGGACAGATGGATGGCCTGAATGGCTGCTTGAATGAATGAATGAATGAACGGTTTGCAAGGAATAGACTCAAGAGCAGGGGCTTTCCCCCCCCTCTTGATATCTCAAATGTCCAGCTCTGGGCTCCGTCCACAATGTGTGAATTTTGTTGGCTTATTGCTTTTCTATGCCGCATAATTGCTGACTTCTTTCACACATTCACACACATCATTGGACTGGTCAGAGGACTGGGGTTTACACTCCTCTGAATGAATGTACGATAGATTTGTATATGTATAGGGATGTGTTTGGCGACGTTTTGTCCTTGAGCAGTAGGCATAAATCATAGGCCTGCTGCTGCAGAGCTCCGAAATTTATGCTTGGTTGCATTTTTGATGTTCCACCCACGCAGGGGGCGACTCTGTTTGGGCAGAGATAACAGAGAGGAGGAGGGTCCCTGATCGGTGCTCGGTGCTCGGTGCTCGGTGGGAAGCAAATCAAGAGTAACAACTGCACGGTAATCGTATTTCAATTCAAAGATGTCGGATGTGTTTATCTGTCTTTCCCTTTCCAATAGTACCAGACCCAGACCCAACCCAAAGCCAAACCCCACCCGACTTTCGCTTCCCGAGTTACCCAAAGGTGTTTAAAAAAAAAACAATTTCGCACCATTTAGAGTTGCCAAGGCTACCTGCGATGCGCTGCCAGGGTGACCATTCGCTTGTTATGCAAACAAATTCGTGGGCCTGCCCCAAAGAGAGTTGCCACAACAACGTGCACTGGGGGCTTCCCTGCTCCGCTGCAGCTCCAAGTCTCATTCTTTGCCTCCCAGTTGTTCCCTGTGCGCGTTGCTGACTTTTTTACACAGTTTTATTTATTGTTTTATTGTTTGCCTAATCATTGACCACCGAGGAGAGGCCCAGGATGCCTTGCTACTCAGCCTCCAATGTGCGTTTTGTCAGCGCCGAGTCGCAGCTGAAGGATAGATGCCAGGAGCTGCGGTCGCGGGCCAGGGCACAGACGGCGGCATATCGTCCCCCGGCGGGTGGATTTCGGCCCTCTACCCAGATGGGTGTCGCCTCGTTCCGAAGACCCTTTGACCAGTCGGCGGCCTACGACCAGAAGCAGCTGAAACGGAACGAGCGAGACAGGAAACGCAATCAGGGCTCGAAGCACATTGTGCTGCGACCCAACGATCTGAGGCGACTTAAGGATCAGGGCAGGGTAGTGACCGTGCAGGAGAAGATGCAGGAGATCGACGAGAAGGAGGAGGCTCACCGCCAGCAGCTGCAGCTGGTGGAAGAGACAAGAAAGCGCTACAAGGAGATCGACAAAGCACGACAGGCAGTGGCGGGAGAGGACAAGATCAGTAGCGTGGAGAGCGAGATTCTGGAGGAGAAGGGCTCGGTGCTGAGTCGCGCCTTTCTGGCCAAGCAAGAGCAGGAGGAGGAGGTGAAGCAGATCAACCGCATGATCCTCGATGCCAAGTGCAAGGCGGTGCGGGAGGCACAAATCCAGGAGAAGTATCTGCTGGCCAAGGCACTGCGGGAGGACGACGAGCGTCTGGCTCGGATGGTCAACGCGGAGGCTCGGAAGGCCCTGAGCGCCGAGGATGAGCGGGAGCGTCTGGAGATCGAGAAGCGTGCCAAGTACGCCCAGGAGATCCGCCAACAGCTGAGTGAGCGCGAGAACCGGCGCTACCTGGAGGCCAAGCGGGTGGCCGAGGAGGCCAAGGGCATTCGCAGGGCCACGGAGCTGATGCGCGAGGAGGAGGAGCGCCAGCGGAACTTCGTCCATGTGCGCAAGCAGCGCTTCCGCGAGGAGCTGCAGCGGATCCGCGACATGTCCAACGTGTTCAAGACCATGCTGATGGAGCAGGAGCGCCTGGCCGACCTGCGGGTGATGGCCTACATGCGCGAGAAGCAGGAGAAGGAGCGCCAGCTGAAGGAGCTGAAGCGGCTGGCGAAGAAGGAGTTCGAGCGTCGCCAGCAGCGCATCTTCACGGTGGCTGCCGAGGCCATGGAGACGCGACACACCAACGAGGAGCTCAAGTACTTGAAGGAGCGCGACCGTGTGGAGCGCGAGTACCGGCAGCGGGAGAAGGACGCTGCCATGGCCAAGCGGGAGGCGGAGCGGGACCTGCTCGAGTCGCGCGCCCAGCAGGCGCAGGAGATGAAACACCGCCTGGCGCTGGAGATCGCCCACGCCGAAGAGGAGTTCAACAAAGTGATGGACCGCATGCGTGAGGAAGAGGACAAGCAGAAGGCGCTCGACCAGCAGCGCGACTTCCAGCGTCTGGTCTACCGCAAGGATCTCAAGCAGCAGATGACCGACAAAGCGGAGGAGCGCCGTCGCCTGGCTAAAATCGAGGCCGGTCGCGTCCAAAAGTGGCTGGAGCATGAGCAGCAGCGGGACGCCAACATCAAGCAGGTGATCAGCGCCAAGATCGCGTCCATGCGGGAGAACTGCCTGCCCGAGAAGTACTTGAAGGAGGTGGAGAAGCAGCTGAAGAACATCCAAGGCTCACGCAATCGGATACGCTGACGGAGGGTCCGGCTGAGGTTGCATAGCTTGGGGCGGTGCCTGGGAGCAGTAGTGGGCTTCCCACTGGACCCCGAGAGTATGCAGGAATGTGGGTTCGATCTAGCACCTACGATACCCGCTACAGTAAGCTCATTGCATAGGGATATTCTTAGTGTATTTTGATAATAAACGAATGGCGCAAAACCCTAAGCTGAAATCTACTATACATATGTATGTATGTCCCAAAAGGTCTCATGAAAATGTAACCCACCGCCCGAAAGTATGCCATAAAGCTGCAAACGCCACAAAAGTAACTGCCGAATCGAAATCAAAGACCGCCATCCTCTGGCGATGACGATGATGATAATGATGCGACTTTGTTGCGCGTGTGGCAGAATCCACCTCAGCTGGAGTCGACAGTCGGGGAAGGGAGTCTCTGTGCCCCCGCACACACAGCACGCTAATTTCGAACTATGTGGGCGTTTAGCCTCTTTCTACTCCGTCCCAGTTTTTCCCGCTGCTGTCACCAAGGGGGTGGAGGGGAAGGGAATAGCACAAACAATTACACGAGACGAAAAACTACGGCCTCAGCTCAGTGCCACCGAATGCCATGGAGAGAAAAAGTGGTAGCCAACTTTTGGCCACAATAAAATTTTATTATGCCACACGCATACCCAGCCAGCAGCATTGGGGCCCAGAGGCAGATACGCACACACACGCGTGCAAACAATGGGGCAGACGAAGATGGAGCTGACGCTGAAGATGCCACCGACAACGAGAACGGCAACGGCAATGGCAACGACGAACTCTTGTGCATGGTTCAATTATCGTATTTCATGATTCGTTAAATTTTCGCATACGCCAAAAAAGCAAAAAAAATACGCAAGACTTGGCTGGGCCCCCCCCACTTCATGCCAGCCTGCCTGGTGGGTGGGTACAAAGAGAAGCCATAGTGCAGAACAGGTTTTCCCCTGGCAACCATTGTGATGTCTACCTACAATGAAGACTAACCCAACTCGAGGAGATTTGGAGATTGGGAGGCCCGCCTGGAGACTACTGCCTTCGGGTCTGAGTCTGGGTCTGGGTCTGGGTCTGTGCTTGGGGATTGCCTGCCACTCGCATATGGCAGTAATAATTCCAATGACAATAAACGTTGTCGTATTTACAAGTACCCGCACAAACACACACACACACACACACACAGACATAGAGGCACACGCTTACGCACACACTGAGATGAATTGATGAGAAAAGTTTTTGAGGAAATGTCAATAGAGAAGCGGAGACAAACTACGCTCCTCCGATGTGCGAGAGGGAGTCTTACAGCACAGTGGGATGAAAGTAGCGAAAAGTGTACTCCCCGTGTATTTAGCGTTTTTCTACGCTTTCCAAAAATCATCTGTTACAGTCTTCAGAGGTTCAATACGCAACAAACAATGGAAAAGTGTCTGCATGGGCAGTGGGGCAAGACTGATTTATGTATCTATAGATATGTTGTGGATGCCAACAAAGGAACAATGCGTTGCCTTACGGGGCCCACTGTACCACGGCAGGGCATCTTTGGCATTTATAAATATCGTGCGAGTGCAAGTTTGCTTGAAAGGAAAAGGTAAAAAGCCAAAAAATATCGATATTGTAATTGGAAATATATAAGATGCAGCTGCTGCATCCTCATACCCATCCCATTCGCATACCCAATCCACCCACTCAACCCACCGAAATGTATCTGCAAGATTGCACACAATTGTTTTGTATTAGCAAAGTGATTTGGCTTTCCTTGGTTTCCTTGGATTTATTCTGTTCGTTTTCGCTGCTTCGGTTTGGTTTGGTCTGGTAGTGCCTTCGATATGTGTGCTTAAAAATAAATTGCTCGGCTTTAGTTTTGCATTTTATTTCTATGGCTTTTCTTTTGTAGTACATAGTTGCGGTGTGCTTGGAGTGCTTTCCGCCTTTTCCTTTTATTGTAGGTAGTTCAAAGCGGTCCAATACAGATAGCTGGATGGATAGCTCCATAAGTACACCAATGCCATATCTAGGTGACTGTGTAATGGGTCTCAATTGCGCCCCAAATTTAAGACATCAATCGAGCCCCGCATTTGCATATCAATATGTGGGTGTGTACACACAGCTGTGGAGCGGGAGGAAAATCAATATAAACGAGGAAGCCGCTTGATTGGACGTTGAGAGGTGTCTCTGCCGGTCAGCGGCAGGAAGCTGTGCATTGAGCGACAGATTGAAGGGGGGCCAAAATAGGGAATTATAAATAGACAAACATTCGTTTTAATTGAAAAAGGCAAATCAATAATGTTCGATACCGAGCATTTTCAATAAATAATTGAATAGAGCGTAGCATGATTGATTGGCTGCTGATTATAGTAGGGTACACCATCTACTTTTCAGTAATCCCTGCGATAAGGAGCTGCTCTTTCACCTGCCTTAGCTGGCGCCAGAAATTTCCAAATTAATCAGAGATTCCGAACAAGGAAACCAAGTTCCCACCAGTGCGATTATTCTCTGTGAAATGCATGTGGGTGGGTGGCGATTATGAAATACGTATCATCGATTAGATACGGTACACACTTCAGACATATGTATCTTCAATTAGTGGGACCCCGAGACAGTTTTTGTTTTCTCTCTTGACTGGAATGTCGAGAAGGGGTATTATGACCACAATTACACATTTATTTATCTTTCTATCTCACTATCTATCCGCTTATATCGACGGTGCTTGCGCTGGTCTGTGCCTTATCTGTGGCCTTTGTTTATGGACAACGACAACCCACGCCAGAAGGTGCCATAAGAAGGCGCTCTTCGATAAGGGGGCTTCCTGGAAATGTGCGGTAGGTGGAAATACAATACTTGTAGAAATTCTATCGATTTGGAATGCTTGGGTGAAGCAAAAATACGAAAATATTCCACTGGTGGCACTCCAGCCACGAGCCACCATCCACCAGCCACGAGAAACCTTCGTACATCAGTTTACTAATAAATATTTATTTAGCTACGAGAGCAAACACTTAGATTAAACAAAATCTGTCAAGGGCTAACCATAATTAACATAAAACAAATAGTAATATTAATAATAAAACTTGATTAAATCGATTTGCTCATAAATCTTGCGCCGCGCATTCATCTGATACTCTTAATTTTTTTTTGTAGTCGGTTTTTGTTTTGTTTTTTGTTGCTTTTTTAACATTATTTATAATGCATTATCGGACTGGAAACTATGCAACAGAGCATGCAGCCAGCCACCGCTGGCAGTGCGGTCGACGTCGCTGCCAAGAGATTGTCGCAGCTGATTGGGGCAAGATCCACGTTGGCGGTCTGCCCACTTCAAAAGCGGCAACGAACAGAGCCAGCAGCAGCAGCAGCAGCAGCAGCAGCTATACGGTAGCTGAGGCAGCGGCAGTGACTGCGACGGGACTGCGGCATTGTTTACAAAAAAACAGCAAGTTGAAGAAGAAGGGGTACGGGAGCGGGTGCGGTTGGTGTTGGTGTTGGTGGTGGTGTCGGGGTTCCAGTAGCCACCGCCAAGATATAAAGCGGCTTGATCTTACTTTTAACGGTCGAGTGGTATCTCGGCCGGCGTCCATGGCACAGAGGGTAGATAAACGAAAGTGCCTCCGAAATGCTCAGATATCTTCAAAAGGCGATTCGATATTCGGGCGTACTCTGCCCACCCCCTGTCCCCAAAATTTCCCATGGCTAGCACTGTGCCTACACATATCCATTGAACAGTAGCCACAGCCCAGGCAGGTGTTTAGACATTTTTAAGCCGTTTGAAACTCGGATTTAACATACACGGTATATCAATCAAATGATTTCCCAGGTGTCTAGCACACTGTGCGGCTTGGGAACCCACTCCTCAAGGCCGACATCTGGCCCAGGAGCAGGGATCACCAGGGAGCAGATAGACTGGTCAAAGAAATAGCTCAGTTATTTCTGTGCTTGTCCCACTGTGCGGCCGCTGGGTTGCCGCTGCCGGACCAAACTGATGCATTGCTCCGTTGCACAATTTGTCGCCTCGGATTTCGTAAATTGCCCAGAGGGGTACGAGGTGCGCGGTGCGGGGGCAGGTGCCATATCAGGTAAAGAGTGCGCAGCGCGCTTATCACATATTTTCTGTTTACTTCGATTTCTAAATGAAAAAAATAGTCGAAATAGCAGCCGGCACTCGATAAGCCTAATCAAATCGGCTCGGCCAGCTTTCCAGCTCTCTCTCTCTCTCTCTGTATGGATTTCCAGGCTGTCCGTCGGCTTAGGCGACATTTGGCAAGTCGAGTGCAGAAGGTGACGGCGTTGTCGATGTCCGCGATGTGGGCGGCTTATATACATCATCATCATCGTCTTCGCCATCATTGTCATCGATATCGGAATTGGAGTTGGAATTGGAATTTGAATTGTGGATATCGTCTAGCGGTGTTGTGGTTGTCATCGTTGCAGAGGCAGCCGCTGCCAGAAAATGCACCTTGGTGGATGTGCTTGAATTATTATTCTCGGCCATCAACTGGTGGAGATGATGGTGGTGGCAGCCGCTGCTGTAGCCCAGGGCGGTGGGGCAGGGCACTCCGGCTCGGGGCCGCTGGGGGCGCAGCATGTCGCCCACATAGATGGCGGTGATCGCTGCATAGACAACGCCCAGGACGGCGCCGGCCAGTACGTCGGACCAGTGGTGCCAGTAGTCAGCCACTCGGCTCAGCGAGACACACAGGGCGGCCATTAGCATGAGGAACTGGAGAATGTGCCGCAGCACCCGAATGCTGCCCCGTCCCTGCCACACACTGTGCACGTAGAAGGCCAGCAGGCACATGGAGTAGAAGCTGAGACTGCTGTGGGCGCTGGGGAAGCTCACGTGCAGCTCGCGGATCTGGCGTGCCGAGATGTTGCGATTGGAGCAGTAAAACTGCTCCACGTACAGGTCCGCGTTCTGGGGATCGGAGCAGCTGGTGCCGTCGTTGAGGCGCGGTTGGCAAGCCTGGTAGAAGTGGGGCCGCAGACGCCCCACCACATTCTTGGCCAGCTCCGTGGTGAGGAAGGTGGCTATGAAGCCGAAGCTGAATGTGGCCTGGGAGCGCCACAGGTTGCGTAGATAGAGGCGCATGCGGAAACGCTTGCAGATCCGCATGATCTCTACCACGCTGATGAGGAGCATCGGCAGGAGCAGCTTCATCAGCAGCAGCATCGGCACTGTGATGGTGCACTCGTGGTAGGGATACCGGATGGTCAGGTCCGAGCAGAAAAAGCCTCGCTTAAATGTTCGCATTGCGGATAACGATCTTTCGTTGTCAATTCTAAGTAACTTTGCCTCACTTGAATTCATTTATTTAGCTTAGAAGTGTTCTTATCGCTTAGGTTCGATCTCGTATTTTTTGCTTTGTTTTTTGTGGGGAGGGGGGAGGGTAATTTTGGGCAATTTGTTTCTGTTTCGGAATAGATTAATCAAATTTTTGCACTCGTTCATTCACTTTTCGGTGTGTATTTTGGTTTATTTTCGGCTGTCAAACAAATGGCGCATTTATTTATTCCCGAGCATTGATCAAGGCGAATAATGTTGCTTTCGAAAGACCGTCGCACGATTTTCCCGAGTCTAGACAATTTTTTGCTCGCATTTGTGGCGGCAACAGGCCCGCTCTTCTGATTTCGCGCGCGAGATTTTCGGAGTAGCGGAATTAAATAAATTAACGTTATGGCCCAGACCAGCTGTCCGTCAGTTTAGACACGATCGTTTGGCTGTCAGTCACTCGCGGTGGGAAGTCGCAGTCGTGAACATCGTTCTCCTAGCCTCCTCGCTGACAACCCATGAACCAGGCAGCGATCCAACCAACGAACCGCTTTGTCCGCAAGCTGCTCGAACTCTATGAAGCGCTCTGGAGCGACGCTAGCGTTTTGTTTGGATCGGCGACGAATGCGACTCGCTCGCCGATACTGCTGGGGACTGTGACCGAGACTGTGACTGCGACTGCGACTGCGACGATCGGTTCGCGTATTGCCGCTGCGCTGCCGCCGAGCTGCCGGTAGCGACTGACTGCCGTACCGTTGATTTTTTGTACAAGCTCTTGTCTCTGTCACGGTACACAATCTACGGTCTACAGTCAATGGCATACGGTCTTCGAGCTGAAGAACCCACCACGTCGTCGCCCAAGGTTCACATTGCTGTGGCTGTGCACATTTCGCATTGATATTGAATTTCAATGGGACTTGTATTCCTTATCAATTCATTCGGAGTCGCCGGAGATTCTCTTGCGAGTGAGTGCTCTCGTATTTCTTCGCTGGCTGCGACACCCCTCCCTGCCGCCGTCTCCTTCTCCTTCTGCTGCTGCTGATGCTGGAACTGCTGCCGGGGCACGAATGTTGCTAATGAGGAAACTATTGAATTGTTTCAAGGTTTACTCTGCTCAGTTTGTTTAGGCTTATTTGTCTGGGACTTGGCATTTGCGCATAATGAAAGAGTTGCATTCGCTCGAAATGCGGATGCCAATGGGAGTGGAAGAGTGGAGGAGTGGCCGGCCTGGAGTTGGAGTTGTGCCTCTGCCTGGTGCGTCTCCTTCGACCATTCGACTGGGTCACTGCAACGTGACTTAAGTCGGTTGCCACTTGCTGGGCCCCCCCTACCCTCCGCCCGGTTCGCTGCGTGCCTTTCTGGCATTTGTTGTTGATGTAGGTCGTTGCTCAGGCCCAGGCCCCCAATGAGTAAGCGGAGCTCAGGCTGGGGACCCACTCTGACTCCGACTACGACAACGACTGCGGAGGCTGTGCGGTAATGGAGACGACGGCAAACATAAGCCCGAATGGTGGAGTGCATAAACTGTAGCCAGTTTATGGCCACTTTGTATTTACACTACGAATCGAGCTTCTTTATGGCAAATTTCAACTGCTCAATTTACAGGGGAATTGCATTGCATGCGACTATTTTCTGTTAATTTATGCTAATTTCGGAGTCGCCATGAAAGGAAATTACTCGAAATCGGAGGGACAATGGTGCCCCGCGGTCATACTGACAAATGTGCAAGTCGCACAAGGGAACACAGAGCCGTTGTGTTTTGGGTTTCTCTTTCGGGTATTTTCAAAGTGACTCCGAATAACTCCGAATTACTCCGAATTTCTCAGAAAGTGCATTTAATTCCATTTGTGTGCTCAAATAAATATTATTTCGAAATCGAAACCGAAAGCGTATGTAATACCATTTCTGGAAATTCGGAATCAATTTTAATCAGTCTAAAATAGGTACATTTTAAAATCTTTAACCCGAAACTACACTGAGTTGATAGAACGCATGCCGTGCATTGTCCCAGTTAGAAATAGTCGTACAGATCGAAAACCGCTAACCCAGAAACACAGTAAGCCGATCCGCGTACAGCAACGCCACTGCGCGATACGCCCCCCCTTGAAGCGATCACCACTGTGCGTATGTATGTACATATGTGTAAGTACGAGTATCTGTATCTACGCCGTAGCCGTATCAATGAACAACCGCAGCACGCGCCAAAAAAACGAGTATTCATGATCATCATGAAGGAACAACAAAAACCACAAAGCGAGCAGATGCCGGGCCTCGGGAGATCGAGAGGTTTCTGGTTTTTGTCTGGCAGTGGGGAGCTTCTTTAGTGACACCTTCGCTTGAGCAGAGACTAAATCACAATTTATTATTGACATAATTTGTTAAATACGCAGATGCAGGGAAAATCATTCACGTGTTGCACAAGCCCACCATGCAAACACTCTCCCAGTCCCTGTTTGCCCGGCCCGGCCCCTCCCTGTCTGGTGGTAAACAACCAAAGCTGAGTCGGCAGTTTTGAACGTGGTTCGGGTTGCCTGAAACTGAGGAGAACTTCCTGTGCAGTCGAAAAGTGAAACGCAACAAATGATGCAGAAACTGCTGTTTGCTTGTTCTTGGCACTTTTACTTGCGGGGAAGGCTACTGTCGCTGACTGATAAGCGGAAGAGGTGTAGGAATTTATTAGGCGAGGTGTGAGCGTTTGTGCAATCTCCCGAGCTCCCGAGCCCGTCCCGTGAATGAGGAACTACTGATAATGATCCCAGCGCTGGAGTATTGCAAGTGTCGTGTGCCGCCCCTCGCCCCGCATCCCCCTCACCATGGTGATACTTGGCATTGGCATTCCGCGATTACCATCGCAGGGGGAATTGCAATTTCTCGCCTTGAGCCAGTGACTGGTGGAGATGTTGGATCCCTGTTACTTCCGACATGAAGTATTCCCAAAGCGATAAAGAGCGCTTCGTTGAGGGAAAAACAAAAGAGGTAGCAATAATTTATGAAAGATTTGCGAACCTATCCCAACTATGAGTGGTGGAAATCAATCAAAGATCGATCTGAATTGATCTTAATTCCATGCACGTGCAATGCACTCAAAGAGCGGGAACACCAGAAACCCAATTTATTACATTTTCCGCGATAATAAAGAATGTTCATCAAGCAATTAGTCATTTGTTCAGGGCTCCTATTGAGGTTATCGGGCTGCAGTTTTCGTGACGTAACATTCAGATTTAAATTTATCGAACTAGCAAAACTAAAGCCGACTTTGATAAGGCAGTTTCCTTTCTAGAGTCTAATATCGCCTAGAAACAACCCTGTGCAAACCTACGTTTTACTATGCGGATTATGACTAAATTATCAAGTAAATAATAAAACCAAAAATTGCAGATATAAACACATAATTATTGCCAAAATGGGATGTTACTTTTAAAAGCCAATTATCCATGTACCGACCCGCCCCAGCCTCCTCTGTTGGCCGTTTCAATTAGCAAAGCCATACAAATTAACAGCGGAAAGAATTGCCAGGCAATGCAAACCAGTTTCTTCTCTGAGGCGGCCCCAACGATCACGATCACGATCACGATCCCCAAACGGAGCTTAAAGCTCTCTCGAAGGCGTCACAAACCGAGGAATGTACACTGACAGCGACGTCACATTCCCACATACAACAGGTGCGGAATCACCTGCAATCCGATCTGATCGGTTCAATCGAAGGGAAGGCTTGTTGTGAATCATCGACACCGCCGAAAATTCCCTGCTCAAGCAGCGAAAGAGAAAATCCCAGGCGCTGATATCGATGCACGACGATGTATCAGCGGCCACAATTAGCCAGCGGCAAACCGAATTAACACACTTGAGTAATCACCTACGTTGGGTCCAGTGCGGTTTGGCACGGTTCCACTGGATGCCCCCACTAGGAAATTATGCACACGCATCCCAAAAAAATGCAGAAGATGCAGCGAAAGGCGAGAACCAAAGTTACTCTCTCTCCCTCTTTCTCTCTCTACGCCGCTTGGAAGAAAACCAGTTTGAAACTCCTTTCTCTCTCTGTCTCTCTAAGCGAGGGTTTATCTTTTGCTAAATATTTTCTCTTGGTTTATGAGCAATAAGTGAAACCAGTTTCTCGTGAAAATACAATGGGGTCTGCGCTTCATTGATGGAAGAGACGGGCATTGGGATGGGTAGGTGGATGAGGTGCTTATTTTGATGGTTTTGGGATGGGAACTCGAGAGTATTTTTGCGCAGATAATAGAAGAAAAATGAGCAGGGCATTCCACTGAGAGAAACATCTGTTTGGGTTACCAAACACAGAACACGTTCAAAGCCTCAATGAGTTTCGTCTTTCAATTACCCGCGAATAATCAATAGATTTTCGCGAATGTAAAACGAACTGGCTGTGGCATAAAAAAACTTCGTTTGCAATTAATGAGAAAAAGCAAATAAACAACAAATGTTTATGGCATTTCGGTGGATGGATGGGAAGCTTCGGCGTTGCCAAAGCAACCCACAAACAATAACCGATGGGGGGAATCGGGTATCCGGAGGTGGCACGCACCCACTTGTGACTGACGGACCGCAGAGAACCCACCGCCAGCTGCTGAGAACAGCTGCTGAGAGATATACATATGTACGTACAGACGCACAGGGAGAAACCGTCAGTGAGAGCCACCGAAATCACGGCCAAGTCGGATAACTCTCAGTCCGCAGCTCAGTGGCAGAGGCAGGCAAGATATTCATGCCTCGTCGCTCGGTTAGTTAAGCGCGGTTTGTCAGTCGAGTCGGTAGAGTCGATACCGTCACCGTCATCGTCATCGTTATTGTTGCTGCAGCACAACTCGACTGTTCGTTCCACAGCCATGTCGAAGTATACGAAACTGGCCCGCGGGATCTGCGATCTACTGATCTGGGCCGCGCTCAGTGTGGGCAGCCTGCTGCTACACAAGTGGGGAAAGCCTTTTAAGCGCGGCTTCTTCTGCGGGGATGAGTCACTGGCCTATCCCTACCGCGAGAGCAGCTTCGAGCACCAGCTAGTACTAGCTATTGCCTTCGGGGTGCCCAGCTCGGTGATCGTGGTGGTGGAGCTGTTCAAGCAGCTGCCGGGTGGCGCCCCGCGCGAGAACTCGGGCAAGCGGGACGGCTGCCGCCTAGGACACCGAGTCGGACAGCTCTACAAGCAGGTCATCTTCTATCTCTTCGGTCTGGCCATGGTCGCGTTCACCACGATGCTCTCCAAGGTTTGCATTGGCCGACTGCGTCCACACTTTTACGCCGTGTGTCAGCCGATGCTGCCGGACGGGAGCACCTGTCAGGACGCTCAGAATCAGGGACGCTACATCGACAGCTACACCTGCAGCAATGCCAACATGACGGACTTCAACTTCCGGCAGCTGAACCAGTCCTTCCCCAGCGGCCACGCCAGCATAATCATGTTCGCGATGCTCTACCTGGCCATTTACCTGCAAGCGGCGCTGAGCACGCGCGTCTCCAAGCTGCTTAAGCACCTGCTCCAGTTCCTGTTCGTCATGTTCGGCTGGTACGTCTCGCTCACCCGCATCACCGACTACCACCACCACTGGAGCGATGTTCTGGCCGGGGCCGTCATGGGCGTCTTGCTCGCCTGCCTCACGGGCGCATACGTGGCCGACCTGTTCGCCTTCAAGCGCTGGCCTAAGAACGGCTACTCGGCCAACACGCTGCGCAAGCCCCAAGTATCGCCCAAGAGCTCCACCAAGTCCCAGGCAGGCACTGCACAGGCCACGACCGCCTCCAGTGGCGGCCAGCCGCCTGCGCTGCCAGCCTACACCTTCGGGACGCTGCCCTACCTGGCGGCGCATCCGGCTCAGGCGCAGTACGCACAAACCTATCACAACTACGGGTATGTTCCCTGAGTTATGGTCGGTTGGGCGCCAGCTAAAACTTAGAGAACTTCACACACACACACACACACTATATTCCTGTTTTGTTGTCTGTATTTAGCGAAATAAAATATAAATATTAAAGTATCGATCGTAGCTGGAAGATTTCTTCAGCGGGAAAGTAGAAAGTGTTAAATCGATTTAACGAGGAATAAATGGCAATATTTAAAAGTAGTCAGCATCGCATCCAGACCTTTAACTTCCCCATCAGATTATTGGCTAGATCAGTAGGCTTACCTGCAAAGAGAGAAAACAAAAGGAATTTGGTTAGAAGATATTTTACGTTGCACGTATGATGATAGCACATTCCAAAGGTGTTACAGCAGAGATATTATTATAGGGAGAATCAATCGTAACCCCGATCGGTGGTTTCAATATATACTAAAATGGGTTGCAAACATTTACAGTTACTTTTGCTTTTGCTTTTGTCCAGACTGAGGGAACTCAGAACTGAACTCAGAGCACGCAAAAAGCAGCTTCCAGATAGTAGGACAAAACCCAGGCGAACCCCCCATCCAATACAAATGGGTTCCAGCTGCGGCGACTTTAGAAATTAGGAATAAATTATTGAGACCTTAGCATATTTGAGCAATCGATAAACAGCAGCCAGAGCCAGAGCCAGAGCCAGAGCTAGATCAGGGTGGAAAAGCTGCGACTTGGAGCGAAACAAAGGTTTTTGAAACAAGTTTTTGTAGTAGCCAGCCACTAACCTCCGATCAGATCGATGGAAATGCAAATGAGCTGTAGGCAGCGCTGAAAGAACTCTCAGCTTGAACCCATGCAGCACGGTCCATCCATTCATCCGTTCTTCAGTGTGAAAATGTGCGGCAATCCGAACACGCGTCTGCTCTCGCGGCTCATCATTGATTTCCTCATCCTGCTGGGGGTCTATGGCGCGGCCCTGGTGGTCCTGCCCCAGCAGCTGGCCACCGCCCAGCGAGGCTTCCACTGCAGCGACCCCAGCCTGCGATATCCCTATCGCCAGCCTTGGCTAACCAAAGTCCACCTCACGATCGCCGTCGTGGCCCTGCCCGCCGCCTTTGTGCTCGTCGTGGAGATGTTGCGGGCCGCCTTCGTGCCAAGTGCGGTGGAGCTGAAGCAGCGATTCGTCTTCGTTGGCGCCCGGATCCCGAGCTTCATCAGCGAGTGCTACAAGATCATCGGGGTGTATCTGTTTGGCCTTGGATTGACTCTGCTGGTCATCCGGCTGACCAAGTACTCGGCGGGACGCCTGCGTCCGTACTTCTTCGACGTGTGCCAGCCCACCTGGGGCGAGGAGGGATCAGAGAACTGTGCCGATCCCTCTCTGCCCGAAAATTACACTTCCCCGTACATTGAGGACTTTAGCTGCACAGAGTTTGCCGCCTCGCAGGATCTTCTCGCCCTGATACGCCACTCCTTTCCCAGTGGGTTTGTCACCTCCACCTGGTATGCCATGGGATTCCTGGTCTTCTATGCCCAGGCAAGGCTCTTCGCTCCCTGGCTGAGACTGCTCCGCTCTACGCTCCAGCTGGCCTGTGCATCGGTGGCACTCGTCATGTGTTGGGAGCGCATCTCCACATATCAGAACCATCTGTCGGATGTGGCGGCTGGTGCCGCCTTCGGTGGTCTGCTGGCCTTCTACGTGACTGTATTTGTTGCCCACCTGTTCGAGGAGGTGCGCGTGAAGCGGCGCCAGTGGCCCAGGAACGAGCAGATCTACGGCTATGCGGGGTACTACAATCGACCCACTTATGGATATTGATAAGCATAGATAATAAAACATAGATGGGGAATAAAATACAACGAAGTTAATTTATTGAAATCATTCTGCGTTTTGTCTGCAGTCAAGAGCAAAGCTTTTCGAAACCCGAAACAAAGACTCTCACAGCCAAGTTTCAAACCACAGCTTGCGATCCACCTAACAAGTGGCTGGCGATCGTCATCCACTGATAAGAGCGCGCTGACCACAGTCCACATACGCTCGGTCTCTCTCTCTCTCTCTCTTTTGATTTCGCTGCTGTGTCTATTCATGCACGGTATGCAAAGAGTGCAGGGGTATATTCGAATCGCGTAAGACGGTGTAACATCAGTAACCCATTCGCAATAATGTACATATTTATAAATAAATAATTTATAAATATAAATTTATATAAATAAATAAATTATAAATAAGCCCAGCACATGAGTGCTGGGAGGTATCTCAGTGTCGAGTCGAGTGCCCCAACATAAACGTTACGACTGGTTATTGCCATAACCCTCTCTCTCTCACTCTGTGTATGTGTGTCTGTCCACCCATTCATCTCTTTCATTCGTTCATTCGTTAATGATCGGCCGTACAAGAAAAAGTCCATGGATTTGTTTACAAAGTCAACACATGCTCAGTGCTGCTCAGTCGTAATCGGGAAGCGGCGCTTAAAAGTTTACACCTCGGATTCAGGCAGTCCGTCCGGCACGGTAGTCGATAAGATAATAAACATATTATAGTTGAACAATTGTTGTTTACGAGTGGACGAACGTGACAGTCACACGAAATGAACAAACGTGACGATATACATATGTATAAAGCGATCATAAAGACTTAATAAAAAAGTGAGTGAGGGAGCTGTACGATTAATTGGGTTAACCCACCCACTGGATATTGTACGGTTTTGATGGGTTCTAATAATTTGCATTTAAATTCGATTTCGTGCAAGGTTCAAAGTGCAGTTGAAAATGCCAGCAGACAGAATGCTAAAATAAACAGGGGCACAGTAAGCGCCAGGGGGGAGCCTTTCCTAAAAGCGACTGGCACCAGCAGCACATTTTCCAGCATAAAGTTCACAGCTACAGTGTACAGAGTCGGGCCGGGCCGCCTTAATTCAATCAAATGTCGCTTATTCATTCAATTAAAGGTCGCGCCATTTGACGTGCCCACTATGAATGCGTCTGTGAATACGAATACGAATACGAATACGAGTGCGAGGATGAGTTTGAGTACAAGTGGAGGCAGCAGCCCGCTTTGAATGTTTTCCATTTTTTAATATAATTGACAAGTTAAACTTTGTGCACATGTTCTGCAGCAGCGCAACTCGCACTCCCACTCCCGCTCCGCTGTTTAGTGTCACACAGATCAGGCGCAGACGCAGACGCAGTCGCAGACGCAGATGCAGATACAATGGAGGCCTTTCTTGGGCCAGAGATTAGTGGCGTTGGCTGCAGTCTGTTCCCTCTCTGATAGTGCAAATCTGGGGAGTGCGTGCATTGACGCTCCTATTTGATGCATCATTGCCCTAGAATAATAGGTAACCACTCTGTGAGTGAGTGAGTAACTTGCGAGTGAGTCACTGCCGGGCTTGTTGACCCAGGGAGCTACTGCTCTTCCTTATCGTTCGAGCTTTATTGGTTCTGGTTTAGCCTCTCTGCAGATACATGGGATGGCCAAACAAAAATCGCTGAACTACAGTGATTTGGCACTAAGTAAGGGCTGGGCTGAGCCTTTTGCGGCTATCTAGAACACTTTTATTTATCTTATCAAAGTGATCTTGAGCTTGTTTGAGCAAGCTAGTCGTGCTGCACTGAACGAAAAGGGGTGGGAGAGCAGTTCTTGAAAAAGATTTCCAAGGCTCAGCGATCATACCTGGCTCAGGTTTCACCGTTGTATTTCTTTTTGGGTATTTTGTTAATTAGAATTTATGATAAATCCATATCTGGATAATCTTTTCTATTCTGTTTTCTGTTGCAGTGCACAGTGCCATACGAGGTATACGAACGCTTGTCTAATCTGGAGAACGTTGAAGACATCGGCTAATAACAATAAAATAGGCAATAAACAAATTACTTCGCTGCAAAACATAGGCAGACAGAGAGAGTGTGCGAGAGAGCTAAAACAATATCGGGAGAGAGATAGAGTGTGGAGAAGCCCCCATACATCAAATGAGCGTTAAATTAAAAGAACGTTACCCAAACGACGCCGGATCAGTCAGCCACTGACAACGAACCCGAAACGAACGAACCAAGCGAGACAGACAAACGCGACGGGTAAACACCACAAAAACCACAACCAAACAAAAAAAAAAAAAACGATACGAAAAGATAATTACAAACCAACATAAAAAACAATTCGGAATATTAACTAATTAAAGCCAACGATCCATCCACAAAATGCGCAATGCGAATGAGGATCATTCCGTCTCCGTTTCCGTCTCTGCGTCGGCGTCTGCATGTGCATCTGCCACCCCAAGCACGCCATGCCAGAGCCAGAGGCAGGCAGAAGACCAAAAACTGATCCGGCGACTCCTCATGGAGCTGCTGGTGATTGTGGTGCTTCTTATTCCCATCTGCATCTACGAGTTCGCGGTGGATCCGGTGCGGCGCGGCTTCTTCTGCGACGATGAGAGCATCAGCTACCCCTTCAGGGACAACACGATCACGCCGGTGGTGCTGGGTTTGATCAGCGGTCTGTTTCCTCTACTGGTGTTATTGCTCGTGGAGTACGTGAGGCACATGCGCGCCGGCGAGCTGTCTACCACAGTCCACCTGCTCGGCTGGCGGATGTCCACGTGGTACGTGGAGCTGTTCCGTCAGGCCGCCTACTTCAGCTTCGGCCTGCTGCTCACCTTTGACGCCACCGAGGTTGGAAAGTATACCATTGGCCGCCTACGGCCGCACTTCCTGGCCGTGTGCCAGCCCCAACTGACGGACGGAACGCTCTGCTCGGATCCGGCCAACCTGCACCGCTACGTGGAGAACTACGAGTGTGTCGCCGAGGGCTACACCGTCGCGGATGTGCGCCAGTCGCGCCTCAGCTTTCCCAGCGGCCACTCCAGCATTGTGTTTTACTCCATGGTCTACGTGGCGCTCTACCTGCAGCGTAAGCTCACCTGGCGCAGCTCCAAGCTGACCCGCCACTTCCTCCAGTTTCTCTTCATAATGCTGGCCTGGTACACGGCTCTCAGCCGCGTCATGGACTACTGGCACCACTGGTCCGACGTCCTCTCCGGGTCCCTGCTCGGAGTAACAGGAGCCCTGATCACGGCAAGTTATGTAGCGCGGTTCTTCGACCCGCCATACGAGAGCGTGTCGGGCATCTTGAGCGGTGGCCTGCGCAGGCAGAACACCTCGGCCACGCTCCAAGAGGAAGTGTGTCCCACCACACCACCACCCTACTCGGCGAACAACAGCTACAACGAGGAACAGTATTGCTCGAAGGTCTGAGCTGAGATCCATCCATGTAAAGAGCATTCCAAAGCAAAGATCAGGCCTCTCGAGGCCTTGATTAAATAAAGTTTCGATTAGACGAGATGAAAACAGCTGAGCGTAGACTTGAATCTGTAGTATCTACACCTTCATTATAGAATCATATTGTTAGATCTTCACCCTGCACCTGTATAGTTCCCATGGATATGTCTAAGTTCTCGTATTATTTGTGTATTAATGCGATAAATAAATAAGTACTCCAAAGAATTTCGAGACATTTTCATTGTCGCTGTATTGTTTGATTTCACCTGTTCCCCCTGCCGCCACCAGTCACCATTCCATTGTTTGATTGGGTCGCTTATCTGCATTTATGTGTGTTTTTTTTTCGAGCTCTGTTCTACATGATATTTCGCATTTCAATGTCAGCGGGTCTCGTTCGCTTCACCCACATTCCATTTCCACATATCGAAAGTGTTCGATTGACACAGTTTTTCGCACAGTGTTTGGGGTCATACTTGGCTGACTGCCTGAGTAGTGGCAGGCAGCAGTGGTAGGAATGTGTGTGTTGGCCGCATGACGCATCAGCAATTCAATTCGATGGGGAGACGGAGGGGTGGGCAAGGGTTTTGTGCTGCGTCAGAGGCACGCAGCAGAAAGAGCCTGCCTCGAGTGCCTTTTTGGATGATCGTGTGAAAGCCGTACACACAATTCCCAGTACACTGGGACGCCACACTGTACCCAAAGTCTGTGTGAATCAGACGATGCTAATCTGATTTTGATGAACCTCTGACCCACCAATTAATAATTTTCGAAGAGAGGCGCAGAGTCTAAGAGAATGCTGTGAGAGCTTTTCGGGAGCTTTTGGGGGCTGCTAGCTGAGCTCCTATCGCTCGATCCGGCATACGTCAGCGCACAGTCCGAATTCACTCGCGTGTTATTTTGATGACCATTTCCAGGGCCAGACGGTACGCCAGCACGTGCCTTAGCAACAGCCACAGGCAGATGCTGCTGCTGCTGCTGCTTATCTGCAGCATCCGCGCCAGCGTCAGCGCCCCCGGGAAGTTCAGATCAGTGCGTTTACACTGAGGCGGACGCGGGATTTCCACTCGATGGAAAATATTTACCAAGTCACCCAGTGCCCCGACATCTTTGGCTTTGCCTTTGGCTTTCGGGGAGTACAAATAGTCTATAAATACAACGACGGCGGCAATAACAATGCGAATTGTTTATTAATAATACGAAGCAAACGCGTCCAAATCGGGTCTCTGATTTCTGGGGGCTTGGGCTTCCATCGCTCAAACGCTTCGATCCGATCCAAGCCGCAGCTCAGTGACGCGTGGAACTTCGAACAGGCCGGACGCAATGAGCTTCAGTGTGCGACTTAATACTCCGGTCCGCCTGCTGGTGGACCTGGCCCTTCTGGCCCTGCTGCTGATCCTTTCGGCGAACTTCAAGCGCTTCTGGTGGCCCACCACCCAGCGCGGCTTCTTCTGCAACGACGAATCCTTAATGTATCCCTATCGCGAGAGCACCGTCAGCTCCATGTTGCTGCACTGGCTGGGCGTGCACCTGCCTCTGCTTTTCCTGATCCTGCTAGAGGGCTGCCTAACCTGGCGCCGGGTTGGGATCTCAGAGTGGCGTCACCTCTGGCCAATCTGGAACACCGTCCGCTGGTTTCTCTACGGACATGTATTCAACAATCTCCTCAAGAGCATCGGAAAGCAGACAATCGGCAGACTGCGACCTCATTTTTTTGCCGTATGCCAGCCCGAGCTGCCGGATGGCGGTAGCTGCTCGGATGAGGCACATCGAGGCGGTCTGGTCTATCACGAGGACTACAGTTGTCGGCCAGAGCTCTCAGGTGCCACCGCGGAGATGCTTACGAGCCTACATGTGTCCTTCCCAAGCGGGCATTCCTCCATGGCCTTCTACGGCCTGGTGTTCCTCGCCCTACACTTGCGACACCGCCGCTGGCCCTTGAGGGGCAGTCTTCTGGGGCCTGTCCTCCAGCTGGGATGCCTCTGTGTAGCCTGGTTCGTAGCCATCAGCCGTGTCATGGACTACAAACACCATTGGTCGGATGTTGTGGCCGGTTCGCTGCTGGGTGCCGGCACAGCCTTTGTGGTCGTCCAGGCGGCTAAGCTCGAGGAGGAGGCACCACACAGCACCACCAAAGTGGCGGCAACAAATGCGAATGCAAATGAGAAGGAGGCAGTGACAGTCGGATTGGGAGTGGGAGACGATGCAGGAAGGAGCCCACAGCTGGCGCATGATTTGTGCCAGGTTACTTGTCAGAGCTCTAATTAGTTGTGGTTTTGGGTTTAAGCTATGCGATTTCTAGTTGTTAAAACAAAGCGACAGTTGTCAGTAAATTTAAAAGTTATTTAAAAGAACAGATGATTTGTAAGAACCTTCAACACTCAGCAGCGGCAGCTCATTATGAGGCAGCTCAAAATACATTAAATCTGTGCTTAAAGTCGGTGGAAGCTGGAAAAATCAAGATCAAACGATCAAACGCTTGATCGAGTGGAAAACTGTTGATTAGCAGCGACGCACAGCCTTCAGGTCAAATGAGGTTCAACGTTGCACAACAATCATAACGTTTTTGCATTGGAACCTGCGGTTGTCTCTGGTCTCACAGCTATAATATCAAACTACCAATTCCCAGCGCTCTCCCTGCACTTCGGTCTTGAGTTCTCTCCAACTGCTCATAAAATACCAGATTCAAATATTTGACTAGAATGAGTGGCGTTTGTCAACGCAGTTGCCCAAAACACTTGGCCGTGCCGCAATAAAGACAAATCTGGTAATTAGCATCCATAAAGCTGTTTTCGTATTTTGATAGTGCCTTTGTTATTCCGTTTCGCTTCAGAACAGAAATAGATTTCTAATGAAAACGGCAAAAGCACCCAGACAAAAAAGTCCCGAAATTTATATACATACACTGTGCTTTGAGACGAAATTTAAAATGTAAAATGTACTCAAGTTGTACTAAAAATAAATATCCAAAACTCAATACAAAAAGTCTTTCACTTTGATTGCAAAATAAATATATTTGAAATATGTAAGGCACAGTAAACAGTAATCAGTTTGAACTAATATTATTCCAACAAGCTCTATAGAGTATATTTATTATAAAATCTTGTATATAAATATCAAATATGAGCCATATTAAAATTAAAAAAAAAGGTTAAAACCCATTAAAGAATATTATTTATATTTAAATGAAAAATGTTAATATTTAGATAAAACAGTTTTCCAACCAATCCAATAAATTATATTACATTAAAAGAGTTAGGGTTAAACGCAATATTGAATTTGTATTGATTGTATTTGAAAAGTGAATATTTTATTGAATTAAACACATAATTGCTCTACCATTTTTCCCTAAGTGTAAGGTTGATAAGGGCATTTTGCACGTGCCACACCGTTTCCTATAAGGGTGACTGCACTCTTTGACCCTCTCCTATCATTTACAAATATTTGTATAGTTTCAGTCTGGGTTCTGTGTGCCCCCCGCATTGATATCCATTGGCAGCCGCAGCTAATTTCGCGAAACGAAGCGTAAGATCCCCAAAAGAGAAACCAAAACAGAAACATAGACAGAAACAGAAACTGAACGAGCGGTGGTCGTTGTCGTCGCTGACAACGGGCCAACAATTAGCGGCTCTTTTAGTTTCATTAGCAGAAAATTTTCAAACGACTTAACCTCAGTCAACAAGGCGTCCGCAGTCTCTGCTCAGCCCCCAGGAGGGAAAAAAGAGATATAAATAAATTTCCACAGCCTTGGCATAAATTGGCGAAAAGGACCACCGAACCATCTCCAACTCCAACTGGCTGATGATGATGCGCAACACCTGGACCCGGTGTTCTGGGCCTGGGGATTTTTGCGGGACTTGGCACCCTCATCAGGTGAGGATTCTGGATGGGCATGGGTATGGGTAAGCGTGGAAGGTGGAGAGAGGTACGAGTAGCATCGGCCGCCGCTTAATTGGCTCATTTATTTTGATGGCAAAGAAAATGCTAGAAAATTGTGGCTCCTTTTTTACCGTCGCTCCACGTAATTCCCTCTCCTTTTCCCAGATTCTTCCTGTTTTTATTATGATTAATTGTGGCTAACACACACACACACACAGAGTCACGGAGGGGAAACTGACCCAAAGCTCCACTTTCTTGCCAACTTTTGCAACTGTGTCAAGTTGTTGTTGTTGTTTGTTGGTGTTGTCTGGCTGCGAGATTCGAATGATAAATTTCTATGCAATTTATTTTAATCTGCTGCGACAGTCCCTGCCACACTAGCCCCCCTCTGTCTGCCGCTTCCTTTTCCATTGCCTTCCCAGCATTTTCCATGCGTTAATTAAATGGGGAAATATTTGCATCGTGGCTCACGAATGGGGACAGGGATAGGGCTCGCAAAGTTGTAGCTGCAATCCAACACAGTGACCCAAATCCGGCATTAGCGAAACTTTTGTTTCGCTCTGATTTGTCCGAGCTGGGGAGATGCGGGCATGGACTGGCCCGAGCAACTTGGAATTCGAGTTATTTGCGGCCCGAGCAGAGTTGAGTTTATTAACCCAGATACTTATCCAAGTAACGCAACATGAGTTGTACAGAGTCAGGGAATGGCAGTTAGATTTGGCTCAGCCTCTACGGAGACATCAATCAGAGCTCCCATTTAGCAAGCAATTTCAATCAATTGCTTTATGCCGGAGTTTTCAACCAGTCACTCTTGAGCAAACTTAAGGCATGCCACCACGAACAGAGCATCCAGTGTATCTCTCTAATCACCGTCAGGTGTGATAATACGGCCGTCGGTGTCGGTTATTGGTGTTGGGGTCCAATCCGGGGTCCAGTCCGGGCAGTTTGTCACTCCACATTATATCACCCTTCATCCAAAGCGAAGAACCCGACTCATCCAACTCCCATCAGCCATCAGGCATCAGGCATCCATCGCACAGGAGTGCAGACTACATCGTTCTCGCATCGTCTGCTGCATTTTTGCATGGCTGTTTGCTCAACAAAATATCCTAAAGCATTTCGGGGATTTTACACTCCTCTTGCACTCCTCCTGCTACTGCTGTTGCTGTTGCTGTTGCTGCTGGCGTTGTTGCAACATGCGCTTCATATTTCTGCGGTTGCCGTCCTTCCTCCACTCCTGGCTGCAGCTTTTCCACTTGCTATTTGCCATCAGCAGTCATCAGTGTCTCTGCTTCCTTCCGCCCCTCTCTCTCTCTCTCTCTCTCTCTCTCTCAACTCCTGCTTTTCTCTGTGCTTGTCCACACTGCTCCAATCGTTGGCTTCATGTGTGTAAAGACAATTTGATAATCGCAAAATGCAGCATAGTTTGAGTTAATGAAGCTTGTGTGCCATGTGTGCCACCTTCGTAGATCCACCCCTGCTGCTTCGTGGTGGAGCAATCCCAGTCAGCAGTCCAGAGTCTGCTCCTCCTCGTTGCCATTGCCGTACCGTTGTCGTTGTCGTTGTCGTTGTTTGTTGGACAACAAGCAGAGCGTTTTGCTTGCCAATTAGTAATTTTCTTGCTGGTGCCTGGCCATGGCCATGGCTGGGGAACGGTTTACCAGTCCAGACCAGACCAGACCAGTCCAGACCACACCAGACCGCACCAGTCCCTGACAACCTGAGGGAGTTTTAAATTGTCCAAGGTGGAGCTATAGCCAGAGTCAGAGACAGAGTCAGAGTCAGAACCACCACAACCCGAGCCACGAGCCACGAGCCCCGAGCCCCGAGCCAGAGGACTGGCTCAAGTTCGTTTAATGGCTGGCCAATTGGCATTGCTTTAATCTAAAAGTTGTCGCAGATTACGGTGCGGAATCACAGTTTTCCTCGTTGCGAAAATTGTGAGCCGTATCCCCGTTGCGCATTGTGTCCGTTTCGCATTCAAGGCATTCTTTTTCAATTTGTTTAAATTAATGTGACACTTTACAATGCATCGTTAATGTTTTCCATTCGCCTGCTGTAAACTTATTTATTTCATCGTTCGTCGAGCAGTGTGCAACGTGCAGCGTGAAACGTGCAAGGGGCAGGCGTCCATCGACAGGCGAGACGGATACTTCGACAGACGACAAGCGAAGTCCAAGTGACAATGTGACAGATGGAGCTCCCCAAAAAGGGCGATGGCATCGATGCAATTTAAATGAAAATCAGCAGGAGGACAACACAGAAGAGATCTTGCAGCAACAATCGTGGAAAACAACCCATTTTTCTCCTTCTTTGTCCCCTTTAGCGTTCGCCTTTGGTGCGGAGTTCGCTTCCGTTTTCGATGTCCTGTCGTAGAAATCACACGCAGCCTCGACACGTGACAGCTAAGGGATGGGGGACTGAGACAGCGGCACGAGCACGGTAGCGGGCAGCCATTTTGCGTTTTGTCGCCGCCATCATTATTAATATTGCCGGCACAGGACCAAAGGCAGAACCAGAACCAGAACCAGGACCACGACCAGGAGATGCGATACTAACTTCCGTTGCGTGACATTCGTGCTGTGATTTTTTCGCGAATCTCTGCCATTCCCGGCTTTCCTTTTCGATGGCTCTGACAATTTTGATTGTTGTACCGACTGAATGGGAGATGTCCTGGTCTGTTGCTGCTCTGGGTCCAGGACAGCAGTCGAAACAGGTGTGGCCGTCAACTGGCAATCAACTTTCATTTAGCAGCATCATTTGTCACGCTTGTTTATTGCCCGGTTACGTGTTGGCCACACTTAATGGCTGTTATTGTCCTTCCTGACAGAGGGGACATCAGACCAGGCAAGGCAGGACCAGACAAGACAAGAAGGCACCAGACAAGACAAGACAAGACGAGACGAGACAAGGCAGAACGTATTGTAGAGGTCCGGGCTAAGGCTTTCGATTTTGTATTGATTAAAAACACGCAGAGCGTACGTCAGAAGTTTGTGGAATTACTGGTTTGTGGTGGTTCCATTTAGAAACTATTTCAATCTTCCTAAATGCGTGCCACCCTTTTCTACTGCACCCACAGAAGGAGGCACAGCTCATAACTAAAACATAGCCCCAATTATGCCACAAGCTCCGATGCTGATTCATTGATGAGGCACTGCTTCTACTGCTCCCTCTCTCTGTATGTGGAATAGCACGAAAAACGAAATGAAAACGCAGCCATTGCTAATGCCGCGTTGATTATGAATATTTTAGGAGCAACCACTGCCAGAACCAGTGCCCCTGCCACATCCACATCCACAGCCACAGCCAATGATCACGATGATGATGATGATGGTGTGGATACGGGGATTGGGTCTCGCGTACGCGGGCAATAAATTTATATGCCTCGTAGAATCCCCCCCGGTACCCAGTTCCGCCTGATTTGGGCATATGAAAATTTACATTTTGGCAATTTCCAGCTGTCGAAGCTCTGCGCTGCCGCCTGCCTGCCTTCCCCATTAGTTCTGGCTGCAGTTCCACGATAGCAAATCTTCAACGGACTCCAAGTCCGAGTGCGAGTGCGAGTGCGAGGCCCGTGCCCGTGTCTGTATCCGGGTTCATGCATCTGTTTGAATGCAGCGCGTAAATTCCGTTACGACGCTGCTGTCCATTCGTTTTGCCAGAAAATGCAATTTCCTAATTTCTCACTGGGGAAATGCCGTTAAGAACCTAGAACGTGGGGCTGGCTTGCGCCGACTGACCAGCCACTCGACCGGCTCGGACCCAGGCCCAGGCCATGCAGTCCGACTGATTGGCCTGGCCCGAGGGGGCGCTCCATGGGGTTGCATGGGTTCACGGGGTGGCTCTAGAGGTGTTCGCTGCTCCTAAATGAATGACCCAGCGCCGCAGACGATGAGCAGCACAAACAAAAACACACACACAACATACGAGTAGTCGCATATAAAAAGAGAGGAGAGAAGCCGCAGACAAAGGCGCATAAATGCATAAAGTGAAGTCGGCAAAATTGCAGCAATTGCAGCAGCGGTCTCACTTGGGGTGCACCTCTGTGCCTCCCTCTCCGGGCTTATGCAAAGCAAATTGGTTTATGCATGAGGCGTCGGACAGAGGCAGCCAAACCAAACGAAACGAAACGAAAGGATGTAAGGCGCTTCACACTAAAACGGAGAGCCCGCTCCCCATCCGCATTCGCATCCGCATCCGCATCCCTTTCTGCTATAAAAACAGCAGCGAGACCGAAGCGGCTGATATGATGGAAACACCGGCGGGAAATGGCCACAGACCACCACCCGCTGATGTGGGAGTGAGAGTCGTGGAGGGAGGGTCGTGAGTGCCGGGCTAAGTAAATTGTTGGCTCAGCCCTTGATTAGCTTAGGCGGAGAGCAGAAGTGCAAGAGGAAGCTGCTGGCCGTAATGCATTTTCGAAACCACACGAGCGGAATTTATGTACGAGTATATTCTCCGTTCTGTTCCGGTCGAGCAGGAGGTTGCATTAAAATTTCAATATGCGTATCCCCCAGCTAAGGCCAAGTGCAGCAGCACTCCACACAACTCACACCAAGACACGCACGTGAATGATGCACCCATTCACTTCCAGGGGTGTTTCACTCTTATCTCAAATCTAAGAGCCAGCAAAAAAACGGGAAACGTTTTTAAAACGCTTATTAAACTGCCATAGAACATTCTCTGGAATAATGACAACCACACACAGTATAGGGCACTAGCCTTAAACCTTAACCCTTTCATCTGTTTGCCCATTCGAGAGGGACAAAATCAATAAACGAGAACAAAAATGTGGGGGGCTTAGAAGCCAAATTGGATTTGCCAAGGGATCGGTTCGGATCGGGAGGGGTGGAGGATATAGGAAAACAGGAGTAGTCATGGGTCGATACAAGTACCAATGGGTTTGGGTTCTGGTTTGAGTTCTGGTTTGGGGCTCGGCTCTAAGTAAGCAGATAATATGACATGGCTGAAAGGGAATGGCATTGGCAATGGGAGTGGGTGTGTGGGATTGGGGCTTTCATAAAAGTAAGAGTAAAGCGCAGATTGTTTTTGGCTCCCATTTCCCAGTGGGGGATTAAGATCTGCAGCGAACCAAAACCGACCATCGATGATGACAGCAAAGTTGGAGGGGGTGGTGGTAGGGTGGCCACGGGGAGAGCATAAACCGAACCGAACCCCCGTTAAATGTTATGGAAGACCAGACCAGCCGCAGCGAAAGCGAAAGAGTGAACGCATAATCATCACTTTTAACGGCAGGAAGGACGAACGGAAGGTCGACCCATGGTCGGGGTGGTCTAGGGCTGGTCTCGGGCTTCCAAAATTCGCGCGTATGACTTTTCAAATGAATGACAGCAATTAACGCAGTCAATGATGGCGCGTCCATTGTTTGCCCTGTTCTCGTCGTCCCTGCAGCTCCTGTTTGGCCAGCCATTAAAAGCCGCCAACGTTGTCCACTGTCCACTGTCCACAGCCACGTCCTCAGCCACGTCCACAGCCACAGTCCCGTCTGTATCCACTCGTCTGTCTGTGACTATGCTTGCATTCACGACCACGGTCGCCAGGGTTATGACACATAAAAAGCAACTGGTTCAGAACCAGAACCATGACTACGCCTAGTCTAGGCAGGCACTAACAAATCCGACTCCGTTATCAGCTGTCTGGCTCTTGGCTGCTGGCTGCTGGCTGTTTGGCTGTTGGTCGAAAGGCTCACGGCTAAAAACAAACAAAATGAGAACGAGACCATGGGCTGAGGCCACTAAATCTGTTATTTATATGACATCAGCGCACCATTGGGTGAGAGGATGCGTTTGTCGAGCATATTTTAGATATTTTTATGCGACCGCCAGACAAGGCGGATTTACAGCAGAGTGTGGCACAGAGTGTGGGGCAGGTTAAGAAATATTAAAGAGCTTTTTGTGATGGTCTACGGAAACCCCATAGGAATCCTTGACTAGGAGCGGCCCGTTCTCGACCTCGACCAGCTTGTCACCCATTTTCGCACGCTCCTGTCCGGGCAAAAAAACGGCCACTCGGCCCCTCGTTCATCATGGACTTTTGCCAATATGTTGACCCTGTCACAACACCGCACCATTGCAGCAGCCCCTCTCTCTCTCTCTCTCGCCTCGACTCTCCGCACTCATTATAGCCCCAGGACTTTGGCATCTGTTGACCCAAACGCGTAACCAATTTTGGGCATCGGCTGCAACGTTCAGTGCGGTGTTCTGTGTCCTGTGTTGCAGTCGATTGCTGGTTGCAGCATTGCCCAGCGGCCATTCTGGCGGCGGACACTGCTGTTGCTGCTGCTGCTGCTGCTACTGCACTTCATCATTACCCGGTCGTTATCGCTTTTTTGAATTTAAATAATGGTCGAGCAAGGGGAAACGGGAATGGAGAATGGAGAATGGGAGGGGCAAACGATGCACCGAGAACTGATTTGAAATTTGAGCCCCGACACGTACGGCGAACGGAATGTGTCCTGTCCCCAATTCATCTGCTGCTCGTTCTCGTTCTCTTTTTTGCGCTTGGCCTGATTGTTAATGAGATGATGTTGATGTGGACCGATCCCCGGTTCGGCTTGGACTTGTGCAGTCCCCCCCTGGGAGGCAGTTGCAGGCCTAACCGCACTCGAAATGCTCTGGGGGTTTTTATCACACATACGGCCCGTGTGTCGTCGTGGCCGCATGCATAATTTGCATCACCTCCAACTCCTGCACTCCTCCCCATGGCCAGACCTACTGCTAGCCAGGTCTCCAACAGCGTTAGCGGTCACGAAAATGCTCATTAAAAAACGCGAAAATGTTGTAGGCGAAATATGTTTTCGGTTTGCCTTTGAAATGTCATTTTCGGTTGCCGCAGGCTGCCAGTTTGTCAGTTCATCGACAGCACAGGACATGCAGTTCAATAACGGGACATATGTATAAGTTAAAATTTGATGTTGGACATTCCCTGGGATATCCTGCTAGCGATGACCGAAGAATAATTCAGTCAAATTGTTTTATTGCGGCACAAAGATATTCATGACCGAAACAAATTCGAAGGGTGTGCAATGCTTTTCCCCGTGCCCTTCGCCCAAGTGCTGCATCAGCAGCAGTGGCAAGAAACATCAGCAGTGGCAAACTCCAATCCAGTTGAAGATGCCAAACACGCTCTTCCTGCACGGCAATCCTCAAC